ATACTATTCTCGGTTTTGAACTTGAGGCTTGATCCCCGGCCCGGTACTTGGACGGTCGCAGAATAGAGAAGTTAAATTAACTTTAATGTGAGAGTGGCTCATGTGATGATATTTTCAATACTGGGGTAATATACAGTATGATGAATTGAAAAGGATTTGGAAGGAAAGGGTTGTACCCTAATCAAGATGCTATCCTAACATTTGCCAAGACGGACTGAGGAGAACGACGAAAATAACCTCAGGATGGCCGCTGTTCCGGGTGAGATTCGAAGCGAGCACTTCCCAGATACAAGTCTAGAGCGATACATCTAGACCAGCCTGTTCGTGTACTACTTGAGCGTTAACACACGTGAATGCAATAATTTCTGAATATGACACTCACGGACGCAGTTACGAAAGGCGTTTAATGAAACTCTTGAGCCAGTCAGCATGCCCTACGCGAAGAGACGCCGTAGCCTGTCTGGAACACGTGTTTCCATTTTTCAGTCAACACTCCTTTTGTGGGATTTGAGGTTAAGAATAGGTCTGTCTTCTGATATATAACGCAGCATGGCCCGTTGAAATTCAACTGACGTTTCGGAGAAATATGTCGACTCCATCTTCAGAGTAGAAGAATAATCCTAACAAGAAACCAGCGTGAATCTGTGCAGAGGATAGAAACCTTTAATAATCGTTTTGTCTTAAAATATGTGACACTGTGAATAAATTTATGTGTGTGTGTGTGTGTATGTATGTAAGGGTGGGCCACAGTAATTTGGCCTTGCACCACGACCGTCACTGATCTACTGTGCTTCCTCTTTGATTAACCCGTTATTGATCCTGCACTTCGGATGAAATGTTGGACCCTATTTATGGGGGCGTCATAATAGTCACTCGGTTCCAAGAAGAACTGGCCCAGGGGACGAAATCTTAAATAAGCTATAGCCTCACAATCACAGAGGATGTGTGTGGCTGATCCATCTTCCTCCAAGCACCGTTCACAAGTGGAATTATCTGTCAAACCCATTTTGAAAAGGTGCCCTTTTATGTGACAAGTGTCCTGTAAATAGTCCTGCCACCCATCTTAATTTATCTGTTTAGCTTCAACAGATCCTTCTTTCTTCCGGCAGAGGGCCCTGTACGCTGTGGCCGAATCGTGAACTATTGATAACTCGCAGAAAAATGGACTCTGATTATTGGAATCGATATAAATCGATCTATTCTTGCCTTACGGAATGTTGTCTTTCTTTGTTCGCAGGAGAAATGAGTTACGCTCGTTGAATCGGAAGGGAATATGCAGCCGGCCTCGCACTTCTGCGTGGAGAATTGACGGCATGCTGTGGGAAGCATGGTGGGTGAGAACGTGGCAGCACGAAACAAATTAATTTATGAATGAAAGTAAGAATTGATAGAACTTGCTTAGTAATATCCTCAAAGATTATACTTTGACAAGGACAAACTGCAGTCAGAGCGGTCGGAAATGTCGTCAGAGATCTCTACAACGAGAAGTTTGAGGAGTACACGTAGCAACAGAAGCAGTTCTTCTGCCAGTGGCAGGCTGCAGTCGCTGCTGCCAGGGAGCCAGCACTGCCCAGTGCAGCTGTCCGTCAGGTACTCTTCCAGCCTGGAGCACGCTCCTCACCAGAAAGACAAGGGCGTCAGGAGATCAGCAACTTCGTCCTCATTGGAGAGACTGACGCCTCGGCAGTTCCTGGACAAGTACTCGCTGCCGAGGGTCGTCAGGGTGGTGACTCCCAGTGGTGACAACGGGAACAGTGACGGAGACCTGGAGCAGAGGAGACTGCTGCTGGGGCCGCTGGCGGAACCGCTGCTGTTGTACCGCCAGTACAAGAGCACCAAGGTTCAGGCCAGAAGCGTGCAGACTGCCAAACTGTGGAAAACTGTTGGCCCCTCTTTAGTCATACCAGACTCCTATCAGGGTGAGTACTAAGGAATTCCCTATGCATGAATCGCGGCTGGACCCAAAATTTGCCTCGCATAGTAAAATTTTGAAGTTTCATTTCAATTTCCATTTAAGGCATTGATTTTTGATGTAGGTATGCGTTTATTCGGTGTTTGTGTTGTCCTGTATGTAGGTAGAGGCCTTGCGACGGGCTGATCACTCGCTCACGGAGTCCTACCGTCTGTGAAAAATGATTACGGACCTGAATAAGAAGACAGGGCCCTGAATTGGCTGGAAGAGCCATTCAACAAAAAAGAAAAACTTAATCTCTTTCTATAACAGATTTTGTAATCGCGCTTTGTAAAATCTGAAATTACTAAATTCGGTTTGTCATAGTAACAAACTGTCAAGCGTTAACGTAAGTTACGTACTAGGTCACGAACGAGCGAGTTTTTTTTTTTTCAGCGTATCGTTTCTATTGCGTGGATGTATGAAGTGTAGTATACTCTATAGAATGTCCCAGGAGAAAAAGGTCAATATTCTGTGAGGTTATACAAGTACGTGTAGTATCGGTCGTTCTAGAGCGGTCACCGTAGTCTAGGGGTAACGTTCCCACCTCATGGTTCAAGGTACGCGGGGGTCGTGGAATTTTTAAGGGCGGAAAAATTCAGAGAACAAGTCCTCCGGGAGGGACTTTAAGCCGTGGGTCCCGTGTCGTAGATTTACGGCACGTAAAAGATCTATGAGACCTCTGAGCAAAATTTGGCAAAGTTTCCCGCCCAAGTAGTTTCCAATGCTTCCGGTAGATGGGGAAGTTATCGGGTACCACTGCCAGGCTCGCTGGCTGAACGGGGCTGATAGCGAGCACCAGTACCGGCAGGGTATGGCCACTGGTAGAATATCAAAGGGGGACGTACAAATAGACTATTAGTCGCGGTGCACGGGGAAACCCACCCCTCCAATAATAATAATAATAATAATAATCGGTCGTTCTAAGCAAAAAATATGCCATATCTTATAAGAGTTGCAAAGTGCATTGATTTTGACGGAATTTTCGAAAATGTACCAGATAAACTGTACAAACTTTGTCATTTGAACAATAAATACCGTTATTATAAACAGTACGTAATATATCTTCCTTATCAACAGTTTGGAACTGTGCAGTGAAATAGCTGTATTTCGGAAACCGTTCGGAATAGTACACATGTACATATACTTACAATTTTTTGCTTAAAATGACCGATACTGTGACCTCCCAGAATGTTGAATTTAGCTCCTTGGACACTCTGTATAAGGGAGACGATTTACGCTTGACTGTGTGTGCATGTTATTCGTGGTAGATTGCGTTAAAAGACCGCCTCGACGTATCATTCGTTAACATGTGGGACGGGAAAAGAATACGAGAGAAATTAGGGAAAGGTAATAGCACAAAACTTATATAACACGAGTGTTATCGTTGAATTCTCACGAGTGTTACACCAGTAAAATTTAGCCGAGAAAGAGGTAAGACTTGGGACATGAATTCGATAGATGCGCCGTTCGAATCTCAGCCGAGACACAAACTGTTCTGACTGAGGTTTCTCGTTCTATTCCTCACTTCCTCCAGACAAATACCGGTCTAGTATCTCAAACTAGTCCACGACCACTTCCTAACACATACTTTCCATTTCAGTATTCACTCGTAATCCTACCATTAGAAGCTGTGTAACCTGGGCTAATGTCAGAGTCCTTAAATACACCACCTTTTACCAGCCTTCTATGTCTTCATCAGCCGTTCCTTGGCAACGGCTTATAACAGTAGAGATTCTTCATCTTCA